CAATACACAGCCCTAGTGGAGCATGGACTTTAAACTCAGCCCAGTAGGAGCTGACTTGATAGTTGGTCTGTTGATCACCTATCAGCCTAACAGAGTGGCTGTGATCTGACCAACAGAGCATCATGTGGCTCTTAAAACAATCTGAGATGATCAGCTGACTTACTGCTGCGTCGCTGAACGCCGGGTTGTAAYGCTGAATCTGATTGGTTCGTTTGCTGCTAATGTTTTTTTGAAAGAAAACCAGAATCAGCACCCGTTCTGCTTTTATTTGTGTGAATTATTTCAACATTTGCATGGTGCGATGCTGTCTACTCTCCATGCACATGTAGGTTAATATAATATAAATAAAACATAATCACTAGTAGTCAGAAATGCTGTGATTACTTTTGTTGTTGTTTCAGGAAGTGTTTTTATCTTTGTGTGTGTTGCAGATACGAGACACTATACTGCCAAACAGGAAATCTGCCATGAGCAACCCTCCTTTCCCCACCTACTTTGTCGAAGAGGAAGGTGAACTGGATGAAAATCTGTATGACGAAGAATTGTTCGTTCACACGGAGCCGTCGATCTTGCTGAGCTGAACTCTGTCTCACTTATTTGGTTAAAGTAAACTGTATCTGAATTCTTCAATAATAATAAAAAATAATTCCTAAAACTTGTTTGGATGTGCTTTAGGGGGAAAACAGGAGTTGGAGATAGATGCGTGTTTGATCCGAATGGTTATTACTGTCCCTTCCCCCTGAAACCATGGTAACTGTAKGAGTGGTGATGTCACCAGAGGATCCCCAAGCTGAGGCGAAAAAGAAAAGACAGTGAAGCAAAACAAAGAGAGGCAGATATGTCGGAGAAATGTGCAATATCTATGCAGGATTGGAGAAGAGACGAGGAGGAGGGGGGGGGGGGGCTAATAAAGAGAGTGAGTGGAATACAGACAGACGAGGGAAGCGATGTGTTGGCTTGGAGGGGAGTAATGAAAAGGGTGTGAAGCGTGGAAGCAAATAAAAATAAAACAGGATACAAGCTGGTGAAGGTGCGGAGGGCGGCTGAAGAAGAGGGAGAGGCAGGGATGAAGGCTGACAAAGGTTGACATTTGTGCATAAGAGGATAAATGAGGACATTAATGTTGCAGGAGGACGCCGCTGAGAGCTTACTGTGTTTGTGCAGCAGGATTTAAATAAGAGTCATTTCAGGACTGTCCCCTTTGGCACCTTGTTGCCTCTTGTTTGTGTGTCGGTGGCTGAGGCGCAATATTCAAATAATCATGTTCGCTGAATTGTTTGACTGTTGTTCAGTGACTGTATCCTCAGAGGCCTGCATGTGAATTAGTCCCTCTCTGCTCTCTATCTGCAGTGTAATTGACAGCCACAATAACAAGCTTTTGTTTTTTTTTTTGTTTTTTTCTTGCTGTTTGTTTGAAAGCCTGACAAGCAGCAGTGATGCCTCGCAGGATGCCCTGCAACAACTGTGCAGGAACACAGCATCCGCGCCTGGTCCCTAATTGAAACAACACACAGCCGGCTCGCCCCTTTGAAAAGTGGAGCGTGCACGGGGTTAACTGTCATTTAGGCCCGAAGAGGAGCGGCGGTGAGGCGGTCTGCGGCAACACGCGTCCCGTTCGTGGAACATGACTCGGCTTGTACGTCCATAAGGCAGCAGTGAGCTCTTTGAAATGGTAATGATACTGTTTGAAAGTCCTGTTCTGCGGAGCCTGCACATCATCAGGCTCTTGTGGGAGTGGATGAAAAAGGAGGGTGTGATGGGGGGCTTGGG